GAACACGGGGTGTGCGAGGGCAGGGGCTGCGGTGACAGGTGTCATGACACGGGACAGGCAGTGACACGCCACTGGCACCATGGCCACAGGTCTGGATGGGGCCCTAGCCGCGGACACTCCGGCACTGTGCCGCCCCCCCAGGACACCACAGAGATGGGCACGAGGCGTCACTTAGTGGAGGAAGGTGACCCACGAGTGAAGCCCTGCTCACGGGGGCACTCCCCGGTGGTGCTCAGGAGAGGACCCTGGGCTGGACACGGCCACAAGGAAACGACCTCGGGCAGAAACGAGGGCCTCGCCAGGGCGCAGCGACACCATGCTGGCACCAGGGGAAGGCACAGCAGAGGAGGGATCCAGGAAGTGCCAGTCTTGGGGGGGGAAGCAGCTGGCACATGGAGGCCCCCAAAGTGCTCCCCAATGCCTGGAGGACCCCCTGGGAGCCCGGCCCTGCCGTGCCCCACTCACACAGCGCACACACCTGTCACGCGCTCACACGACTCCGGTGGCTACCGGGGCGGCCCCACGCTCACCCAGCTGGCGGCGCACGCAGTCGCGCCACTGCAGGCCCAGCAGGTCGGGGTAGATGTCGGGCAGCTGGCGCAGCGCCAGCAGCTTCAGCATGCGCAACGTGCAGCCGCGCAGGGCCCGCTCCCGCAGCGCCCGCTCCTCGGACAGCGTGGTGGGCCGCAGCTCCACGCGGTGCTCCTGCAGCACGTGGTCCACCGAGGCCGGCGGCAGGCGCGGAAACAGGCGCTCCTTCACCACGTGGATGGGCACGAAGATGGCGCAGGCGCGCAACACGTGGGGGGAGGGACACTGCTGCGCGAACCCCGCTCTGCACCTGCGCCGGCAGCTTGTCCAGCAGCCCCTGCACACCCTGGCAGTCCTGCCACGCCGCCCGGCCCCGAGGCCCAGCTGTCTCGAGCCACTCGCGCAGCTTCTCGGGCGGGGAGTGAGCCACCGAGCCCGAGATGGCGTCACACAGGGATGCGTGCAGCCCCGTGAAGCGTTGCTCCAGGGAGTCTGCCCGGGCTGGAGGAGGGGACGGAGCCGGGCCTGCAGCTGGAGCCAAGGTCGGGATCGGGGCGGCCACAGCCACGGCAGGAGGGCTGGGCAGCGCCAGGTTGAAGCAGGCCACGGGCAAGGGCTGAGAGACAATCCGCAGTCCGAGGGGCGCAGGCGCGGGTGCCGACACGGGCTGCACAGGGGGAGCAGCTGAGGCGGAGGGGGCCGTGGCCGGGGCCGCAGCTGCAGGCGAGGGGGCTGGACGGAGGATTTTGAACTTCCGGAACATGAAGGCCACAGAGCTGTGGAAGTTGGTCGCTGGCACGGCCTCTGCGGTCACCGGCTGGCCGGGCAGCCCTGTTGCATCTGTTACCATCTTCTTCAGGCTGGGCAGATCAGACCCTGCACCTCCCACCTCGGGCACCTCCAGGGCCGTGACGGGCAGGGTGGGCGCCGCAGGACTAGGCACCTTTACAGGGGGAGCCTCCGCCTCGGGCTTCTTCACACTCAAGTCCAGGGCCACCTCTTCCCGCTGGTGGCGGTGTGTCCCTGTGGGGCACTCCTGGCCAGGTGGGGCCCTGTTGCAGTCTCTGTCGTTGCTTCTGCTGGCGGCTGGGGCCAGGTCCGAGTCAGGCTGAGTTGTGGGCTCGGGGGCTTGCCCGTCCAAGTAGTCTCGGTAGGGGGCCAGGCTGAAGACATTGCCGATAATGGGCATCGGAGGGGAGCTGGGTGGCCTGGCTCCTGCCTTCTGCAGGAGGGACGGGCGCTCCTGGGCACAGGGGGGCGGTGCCGGGGGCGTGTGGGGATCCGGGCTGTCTCGGATGACGATCGGTGCCCCCTGGGGCTCATGGTGCAAAGGCAGGAGCTGCTCTTTGCGACAGCTGGGCAGTCGGGTCTTCTCGGCTTCTAGCGCGGGCTCCCCAGTGGGTCTCCCGGGCTGCATGCACGGCTGGCCACCTAGCAGAGGTTGGCCGGCCCGTTGGGAAGCTCCAGGCTGTGGCACCGCCTGCACACTGCTCTGGGATGGTGGCGTCCCCCCCAGCCCTGGGGATGCCCCATAGAGTGACAAGTCATCCCGGGCATAGGGGAAGCCCAGCGTCTGTGGGCCCAAGTCCAGTGGGCAGCGTGGAGCGAGTGGAGGCTCCAGCTTGAGGCCTGGTGAGGGCACGGGCAGGGGGGCAGAGGGGTAGGAGTATGTGTCCAGCCCCACGGGGGGCATGTAGGGCGTCTGAGCTGCCTGCTGTCTCAGGTAGGGGCTGGCTAGGCTGCTGGCTTGGTACCCGGCCCCCTTGTGGGCCCCCAGAGGCTGCAGCGGGAGGACCGAGCTGTAGCCACTGCCCTGCTTGTCTGGGTGGCGACAGGCCGGGGGGAAAGGCAGGGCGGCTGGGGCATGAGGCAGTGGGTAGTGGGTGGGCACTGCGTCCTGGCAGGGTAGCCCCAGGGGCTGGGCCAGCTGGGTCCAAGGACTCGGGGGGCCCTCAGACATTCCTTGCTTGGGATCCCCCGAGTAAGGCCCTGTGTACTTCGAGGCCAGGAAGCCCGTGTTGTGGATGGTCCGGTACTTCTCCAGGAAGGCCTGGCAAGGAGAGAAGCTCGCCAAGGAGTCCTTCCCAGATGACCCGTGCAGGAAAGTGCCATCCAGGGACTGGCCCTTGCCAGGAGCCGGGGCCAGGGAACAGGGCGTGTCAACTGAGGGCAGCAGAGGCCCAGATACCAGCGTCCAGTCGACGTCCAGGGGCCTCTTCGCTGGCCCGTCCCCCAGGCAGGTCGGGAGCCCGTAGCACGGAGGGCTGCGGTAGACAGGCTTCGGTGCGGCCAGCGGCGGGCAGGGGTACGGGTGAGCCTGGGGACCGAAGGGCAGAAGCTCGGCAAAGCCAGAGTCCTGCACCTTCTCGGCACCTTCTGCTGGTGAGCGGTACAGCAGGCCGTTGGCCAACAGGCCGTCTGCCCGGAGCGAGGGTGCTGCCACGCTGCTGGGGTACAGGGCTGGGTACGGGGCCCAGGATGGCAGCCGCTCAGACCCTGCCTGGGGGGTGCCACCCACGGGGCAGGAGAAGTAGGCCCCCTTGTAGCTGCAGGTGTCCTGGTTGCCAGCAGGGGGCAGGCTGTGCCCTGGCCCCGGGTCTGCCAGGCGGGGCAGCTTGCTGTACATCACAGGCCCAAGGGTCCCCAGGGGCCGCTTCTCCGCCATCACTGGGGGGGCTTCAAGCCCTTCTGGGCCCCTGCTGCTCGACTGCTGACCTGGGGAACAAGAAGAGAGGCAAGGGCTGTCAGAGGCGCAGGCTGAGGCAAGGACAGAAGCTGCTGGCCTCGGCGTGATGCTACCCAGAACCTGGCACCTGAGGACATTCACGGGAGACTGCGTGCAGAGCCGGGCACGTACCGCAGTGGCTTCCATGGTCTTCCCGCGGCAGGACCCCTTAGTGCGTCCTCCGGCACTCCACCCCTGCCCCACTCCAGGAGCCCCCTTCCTGGGCCTTCCAGATGTCACAGGGCGCTTGGCCTGGCTCACCCCGCCCCCCGCATACAGGTGAGCAGACTCGCTCACCACAGTCACTGACGGAAGAGGTGAGTCAAGCAGGTCAGAGTGCCCACTGCAGCCAGGACATGGGTCCCAGCATCTGTCTACGACTTCCATTTCCTGGGACACCCGTGTGGCCTGTCTGATAAAAACACGGCCGAGCTGGAGCTCACAGGTCTAGGCCCAGAGGCAGCACTGAGGCCCAGGGCTTGGCTAGGAGGTGGCTGGTGTGGAGGAGAGCAAGCCCCGCCCCCTCGGCAGGAGGTTCCAGAGCAAAGGCAAGGAGAGCCTGTGCTCACCCCAACCTGGAGTTCTGGATGGCTGTGGCGAGACACAGGGGTGGGGGACCAAGATGGCCGGTGCCAGGGCAGAGGGCGGTGGGCGGGGCTCAGGGGCCACAACCACTCATGACCCGTGAGGGGCGCTATCAGAGCCTGTGTGTGAGCCCTCTGCCCTCTGGAGCCCTCAGCGCCTTAAAAGGATGAACTGGGCCAGCGGGTGGCATAGTGGTCAGGGCGCTGGACTCTTACATGGCTGACCGCGGTGTCAGTCCCAGACCCGATGGCTTGAAAATCACGTCGGGGCACATGTGCGTGTGTGCCCAGAACCCCAGGAAGAAAGTGGAGGGCAAAGGATCGCGCCATTGGCCCCCTCCTGGGGGCCAATTTCTTACTTTCCCTCTCACTGTCTCTCTGGCCAGGGTACACACCCTAAGGAAAAAAACCTTCAAAAAAAAAAAAAAAAAGAAAGAAAGATCACTCAGTCTTGAAAGGATTAAGCCACAGGGCAATTGTCAGTTGTCACCAGTCCCCTCTCCCTTTTGGCCACAGCCAATGACAGGTCCAGAGTTAGACCAGCCCATCTAGGGGACAGGAGAAGGCGAGGGTAGGATGGGGCCAACACCCACCGGCAGGCCAGCTTGGCTGCCACGTAAGCCATGCAGGATGCGCAGAGAGAAAACCGGACTGGCCAGCAGGTGGCGCAGCGGGCAGGATGGCTGCTCCCACAGGGCTGCAGTCTAGGACCCATCGGCTTGAAAAATGCGCCAGGTGCGTGTGTGTGAGTGCCCAGAATCCCCGGAGGAGAATGGAGAAGGGGCTGTGGCGTGGTCATCCCAAGAGGGTGCTTTTGTACTTCCTGTCTCTGGCGAGCTCATACACCTTATTAAAAAAAACAAACAAACAAAAAAAAAACGTTAGATCATCTCCCGGTCAGGGCCGCACCTCGGGCCAGCCTGGAGAAGACAGGACACGGGCCCACAGTGCCAGGCTCAGTGTTTCATGAGAGACCTGCATCCTAGGGGCAGCCCCGCCCTGCTCCAAGCAAGGGTACAGGAAGGGGTTGTAGTCTGGGGTGCTGCGGCCCTTCTGCCCTGTCAGCACTGGATTCATTAAGTCTGGCTCTGGCTCACCTCCCCTGCATGTTCCTCAAGGCCTCTCTACACCCACCCGCAGCCCCAGGAGCCCTGCTCTCCGGGGTTCAGCCCGTCACCTGCCCTTTGCCCTGGAGACTTCCTGAGACCCCACCCAGGACCCAGCCGGTACACACCATGCCATCTGGGACCCTCCGGAGTCTATGGAAAGGGTAAGGGCTCCAAGGAGCCACCGCAGCTCTGAGGGCTGGGGGTGCCCAGCACACGCTCCCCTGGGGAGGCCCCTCGCCACTCCAGACATTTACCGCCCCCTACCCCACACACGCTGAGGACGCCAGGGAGCAGCTGCAGAGGGCAGGAGCAGGGGGGCACCGCCCCTGGAGCACACATTCTGCAGGTCCTGTGAGCGCCCAGCTCGGCAGACGCGGCAGGGCCCAGGAGGCCTGCAGAGATAAGTCTCCCTGCACTTCCACCACGGGGGCCTTGGAAAGACCAGGAAGAGGAGGTCGGGTCCTGCCCAGATGTGGACTACATCTGGACTCTTCCAGGAACTGAATCAGGCCCGTCCTGTGTCCCCTGTCCCACCTCCCCAACAAGGGAGGCGTGTGGTGTGTGTGCCTGCCCAGGGTCCACTTGGGGAGAGGGTCGCGGATGGGCTTGGTCCTCCTTTCCCCAACCCGCCTGCCCATAACTCTGGTGCCTGGATCCCCCAGCCGGCTTTGCTTAGGGGCTGCCACCGCGCCGACCTCGCGGGCTTCCGGGTGTCCCTAAGCACCTCCCCGCGGCGCTGGGGCGCACGTGCACCCCAGCGGGCTGACACACAGGCGGCCGCCACGCATGCAAACCCGTGCTCGCGCCGACACGCACGGCCTACATCTGCAGTTCGCCCCTCCAAACCGCGCTCTCCCCTTGTCGGGCCCTGGGCACACGTGTGCACGCAGACAGGCCCGCGCACCGCGCCCACAGACGGCACCCGCAGGCCGGTGTGAGGTCCCAGAGCAGGGGGCGTCCGGTAGATCCCGGGCAGCCACCGCCTCGGGGTGATCCCGCCGGCCTGGGCTGGGGCCAGAGGGTGAGTCAAGCGGTGGCGAGGAAACCGCAGGCCCGTCCCGTCCCAGCAGGGCGCGCCCAGGGCCCTGCGGCGCCTCAGCCCCCAGGCCCAG